GTGGTTAACCTAAAGTATATAATAAATATATAAAGAAGATTTTAGAAAAAATTATTCAACCCAAAGAAAAAGATTGGAGATTAAATTAGATGATGTTCTTAGGGCTCGTCGAATAATTTACTAAACACATTTAGGGATGTATGTTTTTAGTAAAGTTTATCTTCTAGTTGAAATAGAGTATAAAGCTTATTGGGTTGTTAAAACATGTAATTTATCTTTTGATGATGCAAATATACATAAATTATTACAATTAAAATATTTAGATGAATTAAGATTAAAAGCTTTTAAAAATTCTAAAATTCATAAAGAAAGGACAAAAATATTTCAGGATAAAAATATTTTGATAAAAGAATTTATTATTGGATAAGAAATTTTATTATATAATTCTAGATTAAAGTTAATTTTTGGTAAACTAAGATTCAAATGGAGTGGTCCATATATTATTATTGTAACATTTTTATGTGGAGTAGTTGAAATTATAATGGAATTCAAGGTCAACCTTTTAAAGTTAATTGTACTAGATTAAAGCATTTTTACGACATTTCTATTACTAATGAATCTTTAAATATTATTAAATTATTACCTCAAGTTTCTTAATTTTATCTTAGTTTTGTTTTTGTTTACATAGAGGACAATCCAAAAATCAAGTGTGGAATTATAGGAGTGACTCTTATGTATTATTATTTTTTTAATTTTTATATATTTTACCAATAAATTTAAGTTTGATTAATATTTAATTATTTACACTAGTACAGAAATCACTTTTAACATCGGTTCCCGGATGAACCGATGTAGAAAGTCTTTTTATAAAATTAAGAGAATTGTTACTAGCAGGATTCGAACCCAATACCTTGAAGTTGGAGATCGATACTCCAACCACTAAGCTACCAAGATTTTCTCGATAATAACTTATACATAAATTATATTTATATACAAATAAAAATGTATATCCATGTAAATATATAAATATAAAATATATAAATACAAATACAAATATATTTATATATTTATATGTTGGATGTGAGAGCGCGCTCGAGAGTAAAAGTGTGTGTCAAGTGGGTTTTCAAAATTTGATGTCAAATTTGTGAGCAAGTTTCTTTATATGAATTTGTAATTTAATGATAGAATATAATCTTTATAATTTATTTATAATAATATAGAATATAATCTTTATAATTAATTTATATAATGATATAAAATAAAGAAAAAAATTATTTTATATCATTATATAAATAAATTATAAAGATTATATTTTGTCATTTAGTTATAATCCATATAAAGAGACCCGCTCACAAATTTGACATCAAATTTTAAAAATTCACTTGACACACACTTTCATCCTCGAGCGCGTCCTCACATCCAACATATAAATATATAAATATATTTGTATTTGTATTTATATATTTTATATTTATATATTTACATGGATATACATTTTTATTTGTATATAAATATAATTTATGTATAAGTTATTATCGAAAAATTCTAGTAGCTTAGTGGTTGGAGTATCGACCTCGACTCTAAGGTACTTGGGTTTGAATCTTGCCGATGACAATTCTCTTAATTTGATAATAATTCAAATTCCTAAAAAATATAAATAATAAAAATATAATATAAAAGGGTTATAAAAGGGAGAGGATAGTCTAGGAAACTCTAGATCAATATATAGGGTAATTAGAGATGTGTTATGAATAAATAAAATAAAAAAATATTAGACTTTCTACATCGGTTCCTTACAACCGATGTGGAAAGTCACACTTTCTACATCGGTTCTAGAACCGATGTTAAAAGTCCCCGGAAACCGATGTTAAAAGCCTATTTTGTACTAGTGTTAGGTTAACATAGTTTTCATAAAAAAGAGATATATCTTTGTATCTAATTTGTTATCTAAATTGTACATTTTAAATTTTTTTTTTACAAGACTTATAAATTAAAGAAAAATATATAGATTTATTCTAAAGAATTCCCTCGTCATAGAGTAATTTTGCTTATCAAATTACTATTATAAAGGTCATTGACCATTTTGTGAATTTACTAACGAATGGAGATTTCATCGAATGAGAATGGTATTAACTAACTTAAATGTCTATTTCAGTAAGCGAGCAAAGTTATCATTAATCAAATTTGTCACAATATCTCAATTTTACAATTATGCAATTCAAATTTTATTTTATGTAATTAGATATTATGGGACTTGAAGGGTCTTGTGCGTCTTAGACATTTTTTGTTGTTGTATAAATAGATTTTAAAATGACAAAATTTAAAAGTTAAGTTTCATTTTCTAGAAATACGTTTAAGAACCCAGTTTTCTCCATATTTTCTCTCTTTTGTTCATGTGTTCTTAGTGTGACTCTTCTATGTTCAAATTTTAATATTCTTATACTAATTGTTTCTTGAAGTTTATTAATTCAATATGCTTTAAATCATATTTGTTTCCTCTTCTCTATCATTTCCATTTAATTTACATTTTTTGCTTTTATTCTTCTACTTTTTCACATTTTTTTTACTATTTTCATTGTTTTATGTTTTACACTTTATAATGATGTTCTAATTCGTTTTCAAGATTAATTCATTTATTAAAACTTATTTTTTTTATAGTTTAGATTTGGTTATTAATTATTTTAATTAATTATAATCATTATAATTTGAATTATTTTATTGAATATCTCAATTTGTATTATAATTTAATTTTTATATTTAAGTGATTATTTAATTTAAAAACTGAGTTGTTTTTTTAATTCAATTGGATTATAATTGATTAAAACAATTATGAATTTGCTTTATATTTGCAAACAAGTACAAAAATAAATGACAATCATATAAACAAGTTCATGACTAGAGAATCAACCTATGTTTCCTGTAATTTTCAATATTGTTTTACTACATGATTTCTAGATTCACCACTATTTTCTAGTTTTAATTTTGGAATATTATGCTCCTTTAATGTTTGTCAACTTTTAAATGCTTTTTAGGATTTAGTTTTACTACTTTCATATACTACATTATATATTTTCTTTTACATTTTTTGTACTTCAAATGTTTTGATAGTATAGGTGTACTTTGATGCACTTTCGTGCTTAAATACTTTCATTACATTTTTTTATTGTTTTCATATGACAGTTTATTATTTTCCATAAATCATAGGTTTATTTGTTTATTTTATTTTTTTTATACTAAAAATACTTCAAATATTCTTTTCTCATAACTTTTAACACTTACAAATCAAGATTTAAATAATATTAATAATTTATTTTAGGACATGATCTAGACCAATCAAAGAACTACATTACTTATTGTTAATGCATATTTGATCACGATAAAATATACATTGATAAACTTTAAACATATACTTTCGTTTATTTAAGGATCAACCAATTTTAAAAAACATTATTTTTAACAAAGATTATAACAATAAATTATATTTCATCGTATCAATACCAAATTAGTAGGAAATTAATCACATTAATTTGTTCATCAAGATAAGTGCATAACAATACTTTGATAATGTCTAGATCATATGAAATAGTAATTTATAAAGAACCTTAAGAATAATGATTAGTATTTCCTTCTATAGTTATAATTTTAAGATAAATTTCTAGAATATGATATTATAATCTTAGTATTTCGTTCTATAGTTATAAATTTAAGATAAATCTCTAGAATATGATATTATAATTATGTTATAATGATATTTTTATTTTTATAAACATAAAAATATTATATTGTTCCTCCTCCGATAGTTTGAAAAAATTAGATATAAAAAATTTAATTTGTAAAAATTCTGTTGTATTAGTATCTCTCAATTAAAACTTTTAACTTATACATAAATTATTATAAATTATAAGAAATATTTAACTTTTTTCTTCTCGTTTCCATCTTCTAAAGATTTTTTATGGAAAAAACTTATCTAAGCAAACCTATTTTTCAAAGTTGTGACAGCGTTAAATTCCATAATTCTAAATTCATTGAACATTCGAAGATGGCATTGAAGCTCCAAGAGAGTTTGTCCCCACACCTTTGAACTTCCTTTTCAATTACTATATTCTCTCTAATTTCAATCAACACTACATGTTTACTTCTTTCGCAATATACTCTCATGCCACATTCCTCTTCCTGTTGTTGCATAACCAAGTGGTATCTAACCTAAATCCATGGATTAAATAAATTCCTCTTCTCATTAAGTCAACCTACTAAAGGGTAAAGTGCTCCTAAATTTTGTAACTTCTACCCAAAGGAAGATCGATCCCACAACCTGGTTCAAAGACAAAGAATGTTTAACCACTCACTCCAGGCAACATTTGGTCCCTCATGGCACATCCAGTTACAAAGTCTCCCATGAATGAAATAGATTTCATTCTCCACCTTGGAGATAATACAATTTTTATTTTCTCAGCCACCACCACCTCCTTTAGATCGAAGGAACTATAATTCCTAGACCAGATCAATAATCGAACTAGAAAAGTTTGTGGATTACGCCATTGAACATCCATTCACCATGGATTTAATGTTAGCTTCGAAAACGATGCAACACAATTGTTTTACTCGTGAATACATCCATCAATCACAGAAACAATTGTTAAGTCAATCATATGGACAGTTAGATCCATGGCCCTACGTATGGATAGATTTGCGTGAGCATGAAATATTCATTAACTCATCATATTTCTTTTCGACTAAATTGGTCTCATTTTAATAAGAATGTTTAATCAGACTTGACCACAGAATCTTGAGCCACTTCAGTTAACGGTGAAGGATTAAAGATACAGAGCCCAAGATGTAATATGGATTTAAATTGCTAAATAGATGGCAAATTTACGCAACACATAGTTAACTATAATTTTCTAAAGAAAACAGAAAATATGGTTTACATCCATAACTATACAGGACCATACATGGTTATTTAAGAACAAATCATCCCAACCTGAGATATTTGGCTTAGATGAGAGGGAAGCTAACGTGAAAAATAGCTTTACTTCCAGCTGAAGCCTTTGCTTAGCACCTCACAAGAATTTTTCTATGCTTGAGCTCAATGTTGTCTTGGGCACAGCTCCAATAACTGTATCTTTCTTCTCACCATCCTTGAAAATGATGACAGTTGGGATACTTCGAATCCCATAACGACTAGCAGTTGAAGGGCTCTCATCAGTATTGAGTTTGTAACACTTTAGCTTACCAGAATATTCCTTGGCCAGCTCGTCAATTATAGGGTGGATCATACGGCAGGGACCGCACCATGGAGCCCAGAATTCAACCAATACAGGAGACTCAGATTCAAGCACAAGTGACTGCCAGTTTGCGTCAGTAATAGGAGCCACTGCAATATTCAATGATACAAAATGTTTCACTTTACTAAGTATTTCTCAAAGACATGCAACAATACTCTGGAAATGTAAAGCAGCAGATAATTAGGATCCACGTGCTTCTCATAGAGTACAATGATAAGTAATGCTAAAAGTGTAAAACATGCACATATCAGCCAAATGAAGTACAAAAAAGCAAGATGAAAAAAATACTACTAAAAATGTAGAAATACATGTTTAGCAAAGAAAAGTGTACTATTCTTCCTTTTTATTCTGACGGGAATCTGGTTTTAACACTGCCAAAAAGTAAACCTTATAAGTAAGCTCCTCCAAACAACGCAAACCAAGAACACAAAATAGGTAGCAGTCAAAAAAGGCCTGTAAAATGTCACTGCAATCTGCCCATCAATCCTTAATGCTTCAAAAACTATTAGATTAAGAACAAGATATCATAAGCCATCATAACTATAACAGTAGAAAGCATCAAACCCATACGTATCTTTTGTCTGAAGAAACCACTTTCATGACTAAATTGCTTTCTCTTGCAATTCTCTCAATGATGGTGAAACCTAACACCATAATATTGCCATATGGAGCAGAAGAATAAATCCAAAAAGGAACCTAATAGCTATAATCCATCTTCTGATAAGACAAGAAAAGAAGCTCATCTGAAGATTGGAATTAGACCATACATCTGATATTCAATTTCTCTTCTATTACTAAGAACTAACTCCAATATTCTAAAACAGCTTCTTTGTTTCTCTCTTCCAATGAGGTCAGGATCACCCATTATAAAGAAGTTCCATTTCATCAATTTGACAACTTTGGCACAAATTTCATACATCTATGCAATTCTGCATAAACTTCTTCACTATTCCCCTACTCCCTTCATTGACCAATTTATTATGCAAACCAATCAAAATGACTTTATCATATATTTCAATTATGAAAGTAAAGTAATCATACAGATTATGCACAATCTTCCCAAGATACATTAAAAGGGTGCAAAGTGCAGAAAACGACACTATACAAGATACTGAAAGCCGGGACTAATCTGCAGTTAGCACTAACAATGAATTTACCCATAAAATTAGAGCACCCAACTCATCCCTTGTATGAATGTACATATATGCATTCCTTTCGTCCTATTTAGCCCCACCATCCTATGCATGATGTTCAATTATTTAAGGTCCTTAATATCTAAAATGTAGGGATCTCATGGGGCAGGGTGGTAAGGGTTTGCCTTGGTCTGCAACATTTTGCCTGAGAAATATTTTCTGAAGCCTGATACTTCAGGTTTTGAAGCAACAAATTACCAGATTGACTCAGTTTTATATATAGAATGTTCCAAACAAATATTATGAGAAATTGACTCATAAGATTTTTTAAGTAGGAAAATAAAAATAAATGATATTTACAATATGTATTTTGAAGAAAAATTTACAATTTATGACAAAAATATTATCATTTGTGTATTTTATAAAAAGAATTTACTATGTTTACCTGAAAAAAAAGGTTTCAAATTATATATGACACATTGACTAAGCGGGGCAAACCTGAAATATGACCCAAACCCAAACCAACAAAAACACACAAGAACTAATACTCAAGATTCAACCCAGCCTGCTTACCTTTGGACCAGGTCTTGAGCAACTCTATCAATAATCATAAATTAAGTGAAACACCGCCAGGCCTTAATCAATTTCTTTCAAGAAACACCACCAGGCCTTAACCAATTTAAAGAAACACCACCAGGCCTTAACCAATTTCTTTCAAGAAACACCACTAGGAGAACATTTCTTAAAATGAAATGTGGTTGTTAAGGTTCCAACATAAAACCAATTGGCAATATATGGAGTAGCCTAACATGTATTTAAACCATGTTAGAATTATTATTAGTTAGTAGTTGGTGGTTGGTGGTTGTTAGTAGTTGGTTGTTGTTGTTTTAAATGTTGTAATCCTATATATATATGAGATCATAGAGTGGAGTAAGTATCCCACAAAATTAGAAATCTTCTTTTCATTTTCTTTACTCTCTTAACTTGGTATCAGAGCAGGTTGGTCCTGCTCTGCCTGTCCGGCCACCATCCGACCATTTCTGGTCACCGGCCGGCCATTTTCCGGTCACCGTCCAACCATTTTCCGGTCACCGTCCAGTCATTTTCCGGTCACCGTCTGGTCACTTTCCGGCCACCGTCCGACCACTTTCCGGTCACTTTTCGGCAACTGTCAGTCCCCCGTCCAGTCACCTTTTTTTTTTTTTTTGCTGCCGCTTGACGACTTTCCGACCACCTTCCAGTAACCTTCCGACTATCTTGGGTGTTCTCTTTCTTACAGGTTCCATTGTCTCCATCTTACATCTACATTATTTAAAACATGTCGTTAGGGCCCACAACCTCCTTTTCCGGAACTCCCATGATAACGGCTGAGAAATTAAATGGAAAAAATTATATGTCTTGGTCCTCTTCAGTGGAAGATACCAGAAGATCAGGCTCAACAATGGAAAAAGCTTGATTATCAACTTTGTGCTCTACTGTGGCAATCAATAGAACCAAATATTTTGAACACTCTCAGATCCTTCAAAACATGTAACTCTTTCTGGAAAAAAGCTCAGAATATCTTCGCAAATGATATCCAACGCCTCTATGATTCCGCTAATCGATTAGCCTCTCTCAAGCAAGTGGATAAAGATATGATGACCTTTATTATCGAAGCTCAATCAGCAGTTGAAGAATTAAAGATGTTCCTAGAGGTGGATTCGTTAGAGGAGATAAAACAAAAGTTGGATAAATTCTATATGATTATGACTCTCCGAGCTATGAATTCAGAATTTGATCATGTTACAGATCAAATTTTAACTGGACAAGAAGTTCCTTCTATGGAAAGTTTGACTACAAGACTGCTTCGTGTTCCAACTCTCAAAGGAAAAAATAATCAAGAACTTGTTGAATCTTCTGCTATGATTTCTACCCGTGGAAGAGGAAGTCGCGGCACTAGAGGAGGACGTGGAGGTAGAGGACGTCCTCGGTGCACTCATTGCAAGAGAATGGGTCATACAGTGGAAAATTGCTACTCTTTGCACGGTTTTCCCGATAAAGCCGTCAATTTTTCCAAATCGAAATGGTTGAACCCAAGTTCTCTCACGAAGAATATCGAGAATATTTGAGGTTGAAATCCAAGTAATCTAGCACGACTCATCAACAACCCCAAATTCATCAACTACTTGCATTTCACAATCTGTGGAAAGTCAAAATCCATGGATTATTGACTCAGGTGTTTCTGATCACATGTCTGGTAATGCCTCTTTGTTCTCTTCTCTCTCATTTCCTAAAACTCCTCATCTCATAACCTTAGCCAACGAATCTAAAGTAGCTCTAAAGGAACTGGTCAAGTCTCCATTTCTCCGTCTTTAAACTTAAAATCTGTTCTTTTTGTTCCTTCATGTCCCTTCAGTCTCATTTCTCTAAGTCAATTAACCAAATTATTGAATTGTTCAGTAACCTTTAATGCTAATTCTTTTGTTATACAGGAACGTGGTACGGGTCGACAGATTGGCGAAGGACATGAATCTGGAGGCTTGTACTACCTTGGGACTAAATCATCTGTATCTTGTGTTGCATCCTTGTTTCCAAAACTATTACACGAATGGTTAGGGCACCCTCACTTATCAAGATTAAAAAAAATGGTTCCTGAACTTCAGACTCTTCAAGATTTTGAATGTGAATCATGTCAACTAGGGAAACATACTAGGTCCTCTTTTCCTAAACGTTCTGAATCTAGATGTGACTCTGTCTTTTCTCTTGTTCATTCTGATATTTGGGGTCCTAGTCGTGTCTCATCCTTTGGTTATAGATATTTTGTTACCTTCATTGATGAGTTTTCTAGGTGTACTTGGATTTATCTAATGAAAGACCGTTCTGAATTATTACCTATCTTTAAGTCTTTCCTTAACGAAATCAAAAATCAATTTGGAAAAGTAATCAAAGTTTTACGAAGTGATAATGCCAAAGAATACTTTTCTACTGATTTCTCCACTCTCTTAAGCTCCCAAGGCATTTTACACCAGTCTACTTGTCCTCACACACCACAACAAAATGGTATAGCAGAACGAAAAAAAAGACATTTGGTTGAAACTGCTCGTACCTTATTACTTGGTGGAAATATGTCCGTTCATCATTGGGGAGATGCTATTCTTACTGCATGTTTTCTCATTAACAGAATGTCATCTTCTTCTCTTAACAATAAAGTTCCACACTCTATTCTATTGCCAAAGGACCCACTTTTTCATGTTTCTTCTCGTGTATTTGGTTGCGTATGTTTTGTTCATGATATGTCTCCAGGTTTAGATAAACTAACAGCTAGAGCCATTAAATGTGTCTTCTTGGGATATTCTCGTCTTCAAAAAGGATATCAATGTTATTCTCCTGAAACCAAGAGGTACTACATGTCTGCTAATGTCACTTTTTTTGAGTCAACTCCCTTCTTCCCTTCTTCTATGCAGGATATTAGTTCGGTCCAAAATGTCCTACCTATACCCTTAGTGGAGCCATTTGTACCTCCTCCTCCTGACACCCAAAATTCCACACAAAATACACCGGAATCCTCATCACTACCTCTTATTACCTATCAACACAGGAGCCAAATGATCAATCCCATGTCCCAAGATGAGTCTTCCTCAGCAGATCCTTCTCAATCATCCCCTGATACCACGATTCCTGATAATGATGACTCAAGTTGGCCCATTGTCATTCGCAAAGGTACTCGCTCTACTCGTAATCCACATCCCATTTACAATTTTCTTAGCTACCATAGATTGTCTCCTTCCTATTTTTCTTTTGTTTCTTTTGTATCCACTATTACTATTCCAAAAAATGTGAAAGAGGCACTTGATCATCCTGGATGGCGACAAGCCATGATTGATGAAATGCAGGCTCTTGAGCACAATGGTACATGGAACTTAATTCCTCTTCCACATGGGAAGAAGACTGTTGGTTGTCGTTGGGTCTATGCCATTAAAGTTGGACCAAAAGGTGAAGTTGATCGACTCAAAGCTAGATTAGTAGCAAAAGGCTATACTCAGATCTATGGCCTTGATTACAGTGATATTTTTTCTCCTGTGGCCAAAATGACTACTGTTCGACTTTTCTTTGCTATGGCAGCTATCCGTCATTGGCCTCTTCATCAGTTAGATATCAAGAATGCGTTCTTGCATGGTGATCTTGAGGAGGAAATTTATATGGAGCAACCTCCTGGTTTTGTTGCTCAGAGGGAGTCTAGTTTGGTTTGTAAGTTACATCATTCTCTCTATGGTCTCAAACAATCTCCACGTGCTTGGTTTGGAAAGTTTAGTCACATTGTTCAAAGTTTTGGATTAAAACGAAGTGAAGCAGATCATTCTGTTTTTTATTATATTTTTTCAGGAAAATGTGTTTATTTAATTGTATATGTAGATGATATAGTCATTACAGGAAAATGATGTTGATAAAATTTCTTTGCTAAAGAAACATTTATGCAATCACTTCCAAACTAAGGATCTTGGTTGTTTCAAATACTTTCTAGGGATTGAAGTGGCTCAATCAAAAGAAGGCATCGTAGTCTCCCAAAGAAAGTATGCTTTAGATATCCTGAAAGAAACAGGCATGGTTGATTGTAAACCAGTAAACAGCCCTATGGATCCAAATCAGAAATTAATGGCGGATCAAGGTGAACCGCTCTCCGATCCTAAGAGATATAGAAGACTTGTTGGGAAACTCATTTATCTCACCATTACCGGACTCGACCTATCTTTTGTCGTTGGAGTTGTGAGTCAATTTAAGCAAAATCCGCGTATCGATCATTGGAATGTTGTCGTTCACATCCTAAAATATCTCAAAAAGCTCCAGGACAAGGTCTCGTTGTATGAAGATAAAGGGGGTACCCAAATATCCGGGTATTGTGATGCTAATTGGGTCGGATCCCCTATGGACGGACGCTCCACTACAGGATATTGTGTTCTCATTGGAGGCAATATTATTTCTTGGAAAAGTAAGAAACAAAATGTAGTGGTCCTGGTCTAGTGCTCGAAGTCGAATATAGAGCAATGGCATCTCTCACTTGTGAACTAGTGTGGGTGAAACAATTCCTTCAAGAACTGAAATTTTGTGAGATCCAACGAGATGAAGATGTATTGTGACAATCAAGCGACTCTCCACATTGCCTCTAATCCAAGTGTTCCATGAAAGGACCAAACATATAGAACTTGATTGTCATTTTATTCGTGAAAAATTGTTGTCTAAAGAAATTTGCACTGAATTTGTCGGGTCCAATGATCAACTTGCAGATGTGTTGACAAAGTCTTTAAGAGGACCTCGAATTGAATTTATTTGTTCCAAGCTTGGTACATACAATTTGTATGCTCCAGCTTGAGGGGGAGTGTTAGAATTATTATTAGTTAGTGGTTAGTAGTTGGTGGTTGGTGGTTGTTAGTAGTTGGTTGTTGTTGTTTTAAATGTTGTAATCCTATATATATATATGAGATCATAGAGTGGAATAAGTATCCCACAAAATTAGAAATCTTCTTTTCATTTTCTTTACTCTCTTAACTTGTACGAAATGACATGAGGCAGGCGATGTAGGACTTTCAACACACCCCCTTTGACCCAACTAAAGGGCAACTTTTGGCCTATGACAATAACCGGAGAGATGTTAAACTTTGATTCTGATACCATGTTAAGGTTCCAACATAAAACCAATTGGTAATATGTGGAGTAGCCTAACATGTATTTAAACTATACCAAATGACATGAGGTAGGCGATGTGGGACTTTCAACAGTGGTCAACTTTGGGTGTAGAATTTTAGATTAAAAAGGGAAGGGAGGTCATATTGTTTCATTTTAAATTAAGTGAGTTAATATAATGTGTAATTGTATATACTATATAAAAATAAATAAAATATTAAAAGTTTATTCTTATCTATTATTTTATTTCTTTATCCTAAAATAATCGTCAAATGAGATAATATTTATTGGAAATGAAAACTTTATCTTCCCTTCACTCCTCTCCCTCACTCCCAAACATAAAGGAAGTAAACTCAGCTATACAGAGACTGGACCAGCATAGAGATTGGTTGCACTGCTTATATTCATGCAGAAATTTAACCCTACATTAGATATAATGGGTCGATGTGAAAGATGCCATAAAAGAATGAAACAGACTGCAAGAGTGACTTTAATGATGTAGCTTCTGTTCTGATTGTTTGCTAAACTTATGACTACAAGCATGATACACCAAAACTGTAACATTAGTCCGGCTGCCAATAGAGATATAATTAGGTTATAAAACACACACAGGTATATGTATTTTACAGTGAGAAACTCTTTAAACAATTCCAGCTATTATTCCATTTTTCTCACCGAAAACAGATAACTATGCAAGAAATGTTTCAAGCTATGCACAGTCGTAAGAAACAACCAAAGCACTAGAAGTCCAGATCTTTAACAAATTAAGAGTCAAATAAAAATCATAATACCAAAAAAACATTAAATGAAAAAAAAAATTAATAACAAAATGTTTTAGTGTTTTCTAAGCATCACTCAACAAAATGCTCAAAAGCTCAAACAATTAGCATCATCATTAGAATAATTCAATAAGTTAATAATTCTAGCATCTCAACATCCACACAGCGCACAAGAGACTTCAAGAATATACAACAAATCCAAAATCACAACATCACAAACTAACATAAAACCTAAACAACTAATCTCCGACACGAAATCGAAACCTAACCTTCGACGGCAGTCTCCCGTGCCTCGCACGCGATGCGTCCACCGCGAGGAGCAGTTCTCGAGGTGATGCGAGTCGGAAAATCGGTACTGAAGACGGATCGGAGGCGGAGGCGGAGGCCGGACCAGCGCGGCATAGCGGAGGAGTTGCGGCGGCCGGTGACGGCAATGGGAGGAGAGAAGGTGAGGGAAGGGAGTGAGGAGGAGGGAGTGAGGGTTAGGGATTGGAGTTGCAGGGTGGCCATGGATGCAGAGGATCAAGCTCCAGAAGAATTGTGGAATCGAAAGAGTTGCGTCGAGCTGTGTAACAATCGCCAAAATTATTTGTACTTTTAATTTTTTATTTTTTTTATTTTTTTTTGGACAGATATTGATACTAACATTGTGTGGATAAGATAAACTGATGCAACACTAACACACTCCCAATTGGTTACATTCTTACAACTAGTTTTGTTTTCCAACATTTTCTCAATTAAACTAAAACAAACAATATTCATTCATCTATAATTATTATATTTTAATAAGTTTGAAATTTTATTTAAACTCTTTTATATTTAAGACTTAAGAAAATGTTTAATATAATTTCTAGTAACTTTAAAAACAATTTTTTTTTACGTTGACCACTTAACTAACAGGTTGATAGAGTAACTTTTGTAATTTTTTATTTTAATTATTTTTATAAGTGGTCAATTTCGTTCTTACAGATAATGCTTTACGTGTTTAAAATATACGAAAATGTGAAAAATATGTATTATATAAAATTATTAATTAATTAATAATTACATTAATGGACATTAAAGATTAATGAAATATATTTGATGATATTGTTGAAATATTGGTGTTCAATGTGGAATAGAATAAGGTCTCCCTCTACTCATTAGTCCTACATTATTTAGGAGATAAAGACAAAACCGTGGTAGATCAAAACACCCTCATTTTTTAATGAAACATTAGCGTCCATCATGGGACTGAGAATAGAATCACGCTTCATTTATGAGTTTCACGTTATTTAGGAATATAATATATACATCTCTTCTCTTAATACATCGATGTACCTTTTAAGGAAAAAATCAACCATGATAGATCAATACACTCTCATTCTTGAACAGAACATTGATGTCCACTTTGGGATCAAGAGAAAAATTTTGTTTCATTCATACATACCTTTAAGTTCTTGATTAGGGAGTCTATATTATATTATGATATGTTCACGAGTCTCATATTATTTAGAAGTCAAGACTATATATACCTTCCTCTCTTAATTTACTTAAATACTTTTAAGGAGAAATTCAGTGATGAACAAGAGCTCACGGAACAATATTAAATAACTTTATATTATTAATCAATAAATTTCTATTTAATATAATTTTTAAATTTAAGTAGAATTTTAATCACGTAAAATAATTATATTTTGATATGTTTAAATTTTTATCCATAAGTATATTGTTAATGAAAAGCTTGTGTCATTCAACTCGAATAAAATGTTTTCTACCAATTTTCTAAAAATATTTTGAAAACACAACTAGATTATGCCAATAAATAAGTCTACATTTAAATTTACAGAATTTAATCTTAAATTTTTGCTTCACATACCATCTAAATAACGATGACGAAACTTATATAACCAATGTCACTCGGAGGTCATATTTACATGTAATTAGATTGTTTTGAATCCATTTGCTTGTCGTTAAGGAATTTGAACATAAATAAGTCTTTACGGTTACGATAATAGAGTCTCATCACTAAACTACGTTGTTATTCTATTTTTCTAAGTTCAACACAAATTTATAAAATTTTAAAGATATTTATCGAAATAAATATTATTATTTTTATATATTTATTCTTTACATAATAAAAATATATGATTTGAGATCAATTATTAGAAATTATAAGTTTACAAATTAAAATAAATTTGTTATTATTGATTCACTAGTAGAAAATAGGCTTTTAACATCGGTTATAGAAATCGATGTAGATACGATCGATGTAGAAAGTGTGACTTTACCTTAAAATCGGAAGGTGATACTCCAACCATTAAGCTACTTAGGATTTTCGATAATAACTTATACATAAACTATATTTATATATAAATAAAAATGTATATCCATGTAAATATATAAATATAAAATATATAAATACAAATAGAAATATATTTATATATTTATATGTTGAATGTGAGGCGCACTTCGAGGATGAAAGTGTGTGTCGAGTGAATTTTCAAAAATTGATGTCAAATTTGTGAGCGGGTCTCTTTATATGGATTATAACTTAATGACAAAATATAATATTTATAATTTATTTATATAATGATATAAAATAATTTTTTTCTTTATTTTATATCATTATATAAATTAATTATAAAGATTATATTCTATATCATTATAAATAAATTATAAAGATTATATTCTATCATTAAATTACAAATTCATATAAAGAGACTCGCTCACAAATTTGACATCAAATTTTGAAAACCCACTTGACATACACTTTCACTCTCGAGCAGCTCTCACATCCAACATATAAATATATAAATATATTTGTATTTGTATTTATATATTTTATATTTATATATTTACATGGATACACATTTTTATTTGTATATAAATATAATTTATTTATAAATTATTATCGAGAAAATCCTAGTAGTTTAGTGGTTGGAGTATCGATCTTTAATTCTAAGGTACTTGCTTCAAATCCTGCCAAGTAACAACTCTTAATTTTATAAAAAGACTTTCTACATCGGTTCATCCGGCAAACCGATGTAGAAAGTGTTTTCTACATCCGTTCCTAACTAAACCGATGTGGAAAGTCTTGAATTCACTTTCTACATCGGTTCTTAAAGAACCGATGTGGAAAGACCGATGTTAAAAGCGATTTCGGGACACACAATTAAAAATTAGACGATTTTCAATTTAATTATTTATCATGTCATGTTTGTAAAGGAAATTGATGATAAAATTATAACAAGAAAATATAAAAAAATTAAGGAATAAATTCAATATTTTTAGAATTATAAAGGGTTGATATTTATGAACCAATACACTCATTTACGTAGACCATCTAAATATTTTATAGTTTTAATTGATATATCAATTTGATAGTCACATATTTGGTTTATCTATTTGCATATTTGGTTTATCTATTTGCAAATCGATGTTTATGAAATTGTTAGCTCAATTAATTTGAGAAGAGATCATTTTTAAATTAAGAAAATTCTATAGATAATGATTAAAAAATTTCATCTCATATTTTTAATAAGTATTTAGTGTTAGTTGAAATTGATGTTGGATATGTTGTAGTCTATATTCATAGATAAAAATACACTTGTAAAATCATATAAAGTGCTTAAAGTTGATTGTAAAATTATTACTTGTGATATTGAAACTTTCAATTACCACTTGGGGTAATGTGATTATACATATTATACAATTTTGCATTAAACCAATAAGTTATCTTATATGCTTCTATTTTACAATTGACTATAGGTGAACAATAAAATATTTTTTATTTATGTGTAATGTTTTAATTACATCACAAAGTGAATTTTAATGGTTTCTCCAAAGATTGAGAATATATGTTAAATATGTATTTTATTAAAAAAAATTGTCAATTATAAGTCTCATGAATAAATTTTAACATTAAGGGGAGAATGAAAGTTTGAAAAAATATATTAGTTAGAATGAATTATTATTATCTCATGTTAATCATCACAAAAAAATGTGAACTAAATATTGAAAAAATAACTCATTTACAAAGCATAGTCAATCACATATCAATGTATTTATTGACTAAAAATATAATGACTAAGTGATATGGACCAACTATCAATACTCTTATTATAATTGATGTTTCAACTGGGTATTTTAATACTACAAACAAGTCCTAAACACAATATAAGTTTGGTGACTCATTTGTTCAAAAAAGTAAGAATTTTTTAGTAAGAAAATGAGCTAAAAGGCGAGATGAGCCCATTGAGAATAAATCCCCCAAAAGATTTATATATTAGTTACATAATAATTCAGTATTACAACATATTATAAATAATGCTAAGGATCAAAAACCAAAGTTTACTATAGATGGTTGATAAATGATGATTAGACAAAATGAAAATATATAGTCAAAAAGAACTTTGGATTTATAGTTGATATACTTGAAAGTGTTAAATCAATTGGTTATAGATAATTTTTTGTGTAAATATGAAATGAAAGTGGTCAAATTGTGAAATATATAACTCAATTGGTTGTTTTTAGAAAATTTTCTCCATACTTAATATTGATAGTTGATTTACTTGTAACTTATATAAAAGAAGGTCTAAATTTATATCTAATAGATATTGTCACAACTTATTTGTATAGTTATCTTAAAAATGATATTTATATAAAATTCTCTCAAGATTTAATATTCCAAATTATCTAAATTATAAAGAGGATTATTCAATCAAATTGACTAGGTCCTTTTCGTGGATTAAAGCAATCCAAATGCATGTGATATAATTGACTCAAGAAGTATTTGGTATATTGTAAAAATAATTCTATTTATCAAAATAATGAATTTGTCATAATTGTTACTTTTGTAGATGAAATAAATATTGTTGGAATTCCTAAAGAACTTACATTACTACAAAATATGTTTTCCACGTCGGTTAAAAGCTGAGCTGACGTTAATATATAAATATAAATATATTTTTATATTTATATATTTTGATATATTTGTATAGTTATATATTTACATATTTATATGTTAGATGTGAGGGCGCGTTCGAGGGTGAACGTGTGTGTCGAGTGGGTGTTCAAAATTTGATGTCAAATTTGTGAACGAGTCTCTTTATATGAGTTTGTAATTTAATGACAGAATATAATCTTTATAATTTATTTATATATTGATATAAAATAATTTTTTTCTTTATTTATTTTATTTTATTTTATTTTAATTTATTATTTTTATATTTTTTATTCTATTATTTAATTGAAATTCTTATATTAAAATAATTTTTTCAATATTAAAAATAATTAAATATTTATTTTTAAAATTATTTTTTAAAATTATTTAATTTAACAAATTATTATAAATTAATCTATGTCTGGAAAAAATAATTATTAAAAGATGATTTTGATTAATTTATAACAATCTATGTTAGGAAAAAATTGTTCTATTAATAATCATAATTAGATTAAATTTGGTATCAAATTTTGAAAATCCACTCGACAACACTGAAAGTGATGAAGATCTTATTGAATCATTTGAT